GGGAGAGGAAGGGAAAGGAGGTTGTAAGCCGCTCTGAGACTCCGAGTGAAGGGCGGGGTACAAATCCAATCTCTTCTCTCTTCTCTCTGGAAATGTTTTCCAGGGTGACTTTTATTATTAAACCGTTCTTGTGTATGGTCCATTACTAAGTCAGAATACCTGGACTTGAACTATTTAAGCGATGTGAATGATCACCTACAATGTAACAAGTAATACTTTACTTTATTCAAAGCTATTTTAATGTAAGCATCATATGACCCCCCACCTCTTGGGTTTTTAGTGATTTATCTTTACTTTCTCCCGTAGTTTATAGTTTCCCCTTCCCTATTTTTCTCATAGGTTTTAAAAACGAAAGATTTTTGAAAAAACGAAATGTTTTGGGGGGGCTCGGCGTCGAAGCCCAGCCTCGCTTGGAACGCAGTGAGAGGATGACCGCCGTTGCCGTGACGTCTGCGCTGATCCTGTTTCATCTGGTTCCTGACTCTTGTCTTGTATGCTCCTTTTTTGTCCGCCCCCCCCGCCAGGTGACGTAACGAAATTTGGCCGTGGGGATTCCGCCTCGCCCGTCCCCGCCACCACTCTGGCCGCTGCACAACAGAACCAGACGCAGACTCACCACACGGCCCAGCAGCCCTTCCTCAACCCCACGCTGCCTCCCGGGTACAGCTACACGGGGCTGCCCTATTATGCCGGAGTGCCGGGAGTCCCCAGCGCATTCCAGTACGGGCCCACCATGTTTGTAAGTCGCGGGAACCCAACAGCCACGCTCGGTCTTTCCTGGGATTACTCCAAAACCCCTTAACACTCCCCTGTAATTCACGGGGGTTCTTCCGAGGAGGGTCTCCCTGTGGGTAGGCATTGTGTTCGTAGAGTGGAGAGGAATTTCAGTGCAGAGAGAAAAGCCATTTAGCCAGTGGCAAGCTGTGACCAGGATAGATCTCTAAATTGCAAGCTGTCAGCCACTTTCGATGACAGTTCTCAGCTGTTGCAAGTTAATCACTTCTGCCAGCCTAAGCAATAGTTCTGATAATAAGCCGGCAGGTGCAGGTGATGACTTCTATAGTCC